CAGTGCCCTTTTGAACTCATGCTTAAGTCATTGTGGTAGCTTTCTGTGCATGGTGCTTCTGAAGAATGTTCTGAGGTTGAGCCATCACAGAAGGAAATGAAACAATTATCTAGTTAACTCTGGGAACACCAGTGTTTTGGAGGAGTGTGGGAGTGAACTGATACCATTGCGCAGCTGCTGGAATTTCCAATAGGAAATTGGAGTGGCCAGTGGCTCAGGGTCTTTGAGCAGCCCTCCTCAGCACAGAAATGCTGTCTCTGCATGCAGATCTTGGAGGAGTCAGGAGGGCGGGTAGGGAAGCTCACCAAGTCTGTCACGTTAACAGAATCACAGATGTCACAGCCAGATGGCCGCCACATTCCTTGCCATTCTGAAAAATCTACCGAGTGGTCTGAAATCACTTAAATATAAATACTTGCATTCAGAAATACTCACTTTGTCCAGTTCTATACACTTTTAGTCATTTAATACTTGCAAGCTTCTGAAATCTTATTCGTAGTTTACATTTCAATGATGTTACATCTGACATCAGTCGACTTGATCTGGAGTAGTGGTGTGTGGCCTTCTTGGTCCTTTAATGATGAAAACTGGTCCTAGAATTCTCAGTTGTTGGCCCCATTTAATTTTTAGAAACCACACAGGATACTGAATGTTTTAAATTTTTTTGAGCTTTTTGTTTATTAGAGTTTAATCTTCATATATTTCCATGAATAAATAAAGTAATGATTTCAAATAGACGCAGAATAAACGGGGGACTTAGGCTAATTTTTCCAGAGATAAGTTCCACTAACCAACAAATTCATTAGTTAAAAATACACACATATTCAGATGAGAAAAATTATTTAATTTAAATGTATTCATTTAGCTCACTATTTGACACAGTGTGGAAAAAAATAGCCATTTATTGCCATCCACTGATCTATTTTGGAAGCAGCTGACATTTATTTTTGATTTGATTTATATCTTTTAGAGAGCATAGTATTTGGATTCTACAGAGAAGTACTTGCATCAGGAGAAAGCAAGAATCCTTACTTCTTAGATCAAAAAGCCCAATAGGATACTGGTGCTTAAATCTATATCCAAATGTAGTATCAGTTAGGTTTTGTTTTTCCACCACAGATTTGAGTTTTATTGAAGAATGAACTTTGGTAAAAATACATATATGCATCACTGCTAGATATTTGTAAGCACAGATGAGCACTAAGGGGGGCCTTTGGCTTGTTTGTTTAGATTACCTGAAAAGTTTGCTTTTGCTAAGTAAAGGTGAGAATAGGTTAGTGTGTCTATCTTTGAGAACATTATGAGCCACAGGCTGTGAACTGGGTAGCTTTTTAAACAAGACATTTTAATGCTGGTTTTACATGGTCTTACTCATTGGCTACTTGAATGCCAACTTTTAAAGTAGCCTTATCTCTGAGAGAGAACAAATAATTAATGGACTGGCTCATGACATTTGATTTTTCCAAATGGGCAAATCCAAAGCACTAAATTCCAGACTTGATAGTATTCTTTACTAAAATGTTTACAAATTAGTTTTCTTAAAACATACTAATGTTAGGCAAGTGACACTGTGTTTAAAAGTTGCCTGTTAAAAATGGTGTCTGAAATAGCACTTGAGCTCACCACTTTTCTTTGTGTCTTTTGTTTAATTGTGGCAATGTTTGCCCTTGAAAGATGCTAGGCTTATGCTCAGAAGAATTCCTTTGAATCTTAGTTGTACTATCGATCAGATGTGTAACTTTGATCAAATTATATAATCTGTTTTAGTCTCATCTATTTCATCAAAAAATTGGGATGGTAATAATTCCTGGAAGTTGTTGTGATATTAAGTGATATATATATACAAAAGCTGTTTGCAAACTGTGAAGCAATCCATAAATACAGCACACACAATGACACTCTGCCTAGCTCAGTATTTTATCCAGTGAAGATAGTTGCTATAATTTAGAGCACTATCTCTAAATGTAGTCCAGCTACCATAGATAAGAATCGTGTAGAATACTTGAATTTTTTTACTGCATATTACAGATGTCTTACCTGTCTATTTTCTATCCTAATGAATGCCTAAGGGAAAAAGAAATCCTACTGAGGTGGGCTGCTATTTTACTCCCCCAAATTATCGATGTGGAGATTTTATGTTATATAAGTAAAAACTGATAAAAGACAACCTTACATAGGAATAAGCATGTATCATGCTCAACTTCCAAATTGTTCTCATATTAACTTTTGAAGTCTTCCCAATAACCTCATGAGGTGGATGTGTTACTACCTCTGATATTAAGGAGGTGACACTGAGGCACAGAGAGATGAACTTATTTGTGGTTACATAGTGTTATCAGTCTAATTTAATTTTCTTGTGCCATTCATGAAGCTTTTGGTACAGAATTTGGCAGAAACAGTATCAGGGTAAAGGAAATCATGGACATGGTCTTAGGTGCCGGGAAAGGAATCTCATCATTATAAATTTATTGTGTGTAGATTATTGATTGCATTAGTTGTCTCTCCTGAGTCCGGCCAATAGTAACAGTAAGCTAAATCTCTCAGAGGCTCAGTCATCTCACTCTTGGGCTGTGAATGAACAACTGAAATAAAGAGCCCCATCCAAAGAAGCATTCCAGAGCTCATGCAGTCTTTACCCTGTTTTCAGGCTTAGAATTTGACTTGTTTCACATTTTGCACACAGTTCTCCTGTAATTTAGGCATGTTTCTACTCATTGAAGTTACTTGCTTATTGGCTCATGAATTTAAAAAATTTTACTGAGGTTCTCCCACATGCCAGGGATACCTCAGGATATTGGAAACGGGGTGGTGAATGCAGCAGGTAGGTATCTGTTGAATTTAGACTGATGAGAGAGGAGGTAAGCAAATACCGTCACAATTAAATGTCACGACTACTCTGGATAGTGCTGTGAGGGCATGGAGCACAGCACTCAGGGATGCATCCAAGAAGGCATTTGGCAAACACTTGATGATCGTAACTTCCTTTCCATTTCTGTCTTCAGTTCTCTAGAAGATGTCAGAGACTGGAGAATGGAGGGAAGGGAAGTTAGAACAAGTGGATAGCAGAATTGGCAAGGCAAATAGTGTCACACAAGGAAAGGCCGCCAGGAAAAGAGGAAGGAAAAAACCTACCTCCAGCCATGTCACATAATGCAGACTTTGAATATGTCACTCCGTCGTAGAAGAGACATATTTATTAAAAACTACCATTTTCAAGAAAAGTTACTACAGAGTCCTTTTACTAAATTTAGTAAAAAAGAGTAAGTGACACAATAAATTTAAAGTGATTCCTATTGTGTGGCTACAGTATTTTACTATCTGAGTTTGTGTTGTCAGTTTTTGGTTGTTTTTGTTTTTGTTTTTGGTACTGGGGATCGAACTCCTGTCCTTGCGCTTGTGAGGCAGGCGGTGGCACCACTGAGCTAAATCCCCAGCCCTGTGTTGGCAGTTTTATAGCAGTAAGTTTATCTATGATGTTGAATAAACAAGATTGCTGCTTTTATCAGACTTCTCTGACCTGCAGGCCGTGATCCACTTGTCCTCTTTTTTTTTAATGTTATAATAAAAAATATTTTAAAGTAAAGGAAGCTTTCCTTCTTATGTATATTAGCTATATTATAGATTTTATACGTAGCCCACAAGAACCGCTCTTTGCTCAGTGTGGTCCAGGTAAGTGCCTAAGCTGGGCACCCATGGGTGAATACGAACTGCAGACTCACCGCTGCGTGCTAGTTAGTACACCGTGCCTGCTGTCTAGTTCCAGCCGGTGGCCAGGCATGCAAAGGGAGTAATTGAAAGGACCCTAAATGTTCTTGTGAGTGAAACTGTGATAATAACCCTCCATCTTTCTGCCTCAGGGGATTCTTTGGCACAAATGCATTCAATCAATATTTATTGTGCGCCTCCTCTGCACACTGGGAATGTCGTGATCAGTGAAGGACGCTTGGCCCTTGGCCTCGTGGGCCTCGAGGCTCACTGGTGAGGCCCGCATTCATCACAGGGCATCATTTGCTGTTCCTCAGTGGGCTCTTGACTCGCTCCCTCACTTCAGGTGGATCTCTGCTCAGATGTCACCTCTGTGGAGAACTACCCAGTGTCTCCATGCATTCGTGTCCCTCTCTGTCCATACCTCGATTCACTTCGCTTCTCACCTTTTATCGCCATCTGTCGTTCTATTATTGGTCATCTCTGGGTCCAAGATTTAAATGTACACATCCTGCTTACAGAGACTGTCTTTTCCACTCATTGCTACCTACTGGTCAGAGCACGAAACAGGTACTCGGTAAACAACGAATGAATGAGTAAAAAAGAGTATCCCACAAGTATGTAACTACCATCGCAGTAAACAAATGGGACGAGTGAAAGTCCTTTGGAAACTGTAAATATTCCATGCATGCGAGGTGACGATATTTATTTAAATTCGAGAAAAAAACATAATCGGTCAAAAGAAGATTTTTTTTTTGTATTTTTACCAGTCAGTCGAAATATTTATTTCCTGATTTTCTTTCTTTTCATTTTTTTTATTTTCTCTTTCTTTATGTCTCTGTTTTATAACATAGAGCCCAAACTTTCTGGTTTTTTAACCTCCTCCTCTTCAATTTAATCACTCTCTACAGATTCCTTACGCAGGCTGGAGAACTTTCCTTAAATTCATGAGGACTCCTCCGGATTCACGTGCTCCTTGGGAATGGATGTAGCATGCAGTTGTCCTGTGCATTTTGGGAGAATTCCCATGACTTTCACTGGATTATGAGTTTATGGTTTCTCCCTCAAGTTTAAGAGTCATTTCTCTCTACAGTTTAGAGTTTTTCTTTTATTTTTTTGTGGCACCCATGGCATTTCTTTTTCTCCTCAAGCTGGTTTCATTTTCCTTTTAATGTCCATGATGGCATCTTGGTATTTTTAAATGTTTACTGTTTGACTGTCCCTAGTGTGTGATATTCTTAGTTTATTTCATGCCTTTGATCCAGCCTTTCTCTGTCTCTCTTTTGTCTGGCCAGCAGTGTCAGGATGTGCCAATTGCAGGATTGTCTTGTCCAGCTTCTCTGGGAGCTTTGCTTCTCCATGCTACCCTAATGACTACCCCAACAGCCAGGCTTGCCTATGGACCCTGCGAGCTCCCACTGGCTACATCATTCAGATCACATTTAACGACTTTGACATTGAAGAAGCTCCCAACTGCATTTATGACTCGTTATCTCTCGACAATGGAGAGAGCCAGACTAAATTTTGTGGAGCAACTGCCAAAGGCCTATCGTTTAACTCAAGTGCGAATGAGATGCATGTATCCTTTTCAAGTGACTTTAGCATCCAGAAGAAAGGATTCAATGCCAGCTACAGCAGAGGTATGTAAACCAAAAGCAGTGCCAACTTTCTGTTTTCATTTAGCATGTGCTGCAGTAAACACATGGACCAGAATGCAGAGTTATGCTCTTTTATGTGAATGTGAATGATGAAGATTAGGTGTTAAGGGTAGGATTCTGTTAATGTTCTCCGAACCTTCTCATTAGCCAAACTATAACTACCAGATTAAATATCTGGTTATAGTAAAGCTGCATTCCTTTATATTCTTTTCATGCAGAACATGTGAAAGCTTCTTGGAAAGCTAGATATTTCACTGGTAATAATTACAATTTGTAATTCTAATATCTCTCCACTGAAAATTTAAAAGACTCTTACTTAGAAATAATTTTATTTTGGACATTTACGATGTGGCTCTTTTGAAGAATATCCTAGATGACAAGTACAGAAAATCCCCACATAAATTATTTAAAAGCTATTAATAACTTAAGCTAATAAACAACTTAATTTGAGGAAAGCCCAGCTGAAGGAAATAAAACATATTATTATTAAATATGTTTTCCAAATTCTAACACATCATGACACTAAGATAAATCTTGTGCCTCTAAAACCAGTCTTAAGGAAACACAAGCCTCAAGACTGAGATTTAGTTAGGGATCTTTTTCTTCTGAACTCTTTAAGCACATGTCTTTCCTTTAAAAACAACAAAAATGGAATAATCATGATAGCTACATTATTATAAATTGTGTATTTTAGTTAAGGAGTTTTTACTGTTTGTGGTTGATGTTAAGTATAAGTACAGTTAAGTAAAACACAGATACTTTAATATTTCAAAGCAGTGTTTTAAAAGTGATAAAGTGCAGGAAATTTGTAAATAAAAAAGAAGCAGATTAGAATTCTTCACCACTCAGCTGTAACCTCTAATAAAATGTTGATAATAAATTTTTTCCAGCTTTTTTTATCTTAACAGTGCATATAGAGAACGTGAGTCCTTTTGCACAAATAGCCCTTTTAAGTGGACCTATAAACTGTTCTATATTTGAAAAGTAGATAGAAATTAATGATTCTTTTAAATTCCTTCATAGATTTTTTTACTAGAGTATTTATATTAAAACAATGAGTTAGCATAGAGAAATTCCGGTGCATATTATAATATATTCAGGCTACCATTTGCATGAAACTATCATTACTATTGTTTTTATTGTTATTGTTATCATTATTTGTGGTACTGAAGATTGAACTCAGCACCTAGCACATGCTAGGCAAGCACTCTACCACTGAGCTGTATTCCCAGCTGAAACCAGTATTAAATAGCATTTGGAGGAGAGATATTTATCTCTTAAATCAATTTTTTAATGTCTATTATATTAGCATGGGGACAAATCCATCGTCTTATTTAAGAACTTCACAGTGTCGCAGACATATCAGACTTACGTATTTTACTTCTGAATTTACCGTGCACATAATAACAGTGATCGCTTGCTGTTTGTTCTTGTAGCGTGGACACTCTGCTGTGTGGCACATTAGCTTATTCCATTCTCACTGATGTCGTTAGCAATGGGCGCCATTTATAGATGAGGAGATAGAGGCGAAGTGACAGCCCCCGGTCACACGGCTGCTCCACAGGCCGCTGAGTGGCGACGCTCCGCGGTCTCCCCTTCAGACACTCTTTTCCCCTGTTCCTCACAAAGCAGCTCCTAGGCTCAGATGTGAAGCAACCATAATTTAAAATTTCATTTTCCTTTGCCTTTTCTCTAGATTTCATCTCCCTATAGAATTCTTTTTAGCATTTGTTCCTAAACTTACCTGATGATGGGAGGAAAGAGAGGTCCACAGAGTGTCTGAAGGGAAGATGATGGTCTGGGCATGTTTGGAAAGACTGAAAGGCAATTGTTTATAAAAAAAAAATCTAAGTATTGTTTGTGTTTAGAAAATGCTTTTAAAATGACAAGTTTTAAACCTTCTTAATAGAAAAATGAAGCCTTCCTAAACCCAGATCTCTCCATAGTTACCTAAGGAATTGTGTTTGTTTGTTTTTTAATTTTTCAACTTTTAATTTCAAGGTTAAAAATATTTACCAGCTTGACTGACTGTAAGTCAAAGTTTAGGTGTGAGATGCAGTCATGTGTAGGGCTAAAATGGGTGGTATTTCTTAGCTACTATTAAAGGCATAAGACTTGGTTGTACAGAATGGACAGAGAGAGAGAGAGAGAGAGAGAGAGAGAGAGGCAGGTGAGAATGCAGGAGGTGGGTGAAAGGTCAGTGAGTACAAAGTGCACTGTGTCAGACTTTCTGCACCTCACTAGGCCCAGTTCTGGAGTTAACTTTCCTTATTTATGGTGCTGTGTTTTGTCCTAGTTGCCGTGTCCTTAAGAAATCAAAAGGTCATTTTACCCCAGACACTGGATGCTTACCAGGTGTTCGTTGCAAAAAGTGTCTCCATTCCGGAGCTGAGCGCTTTCACACTCTGCTTTGAAGCCACTCAAGCTGGAAACGAAGACGACAGCTGGACAGCTTTCTCCTACTTGGATGCATCATCCCTGCAGTGGCTTGGATTTGGAAAGGCCAGGGATGGGTACTTCCTATCCATTTCTGGCTCAAAATGCTTGCTGAACAGTGCGTTACCTACGAAGGAAAAGGAAGATATTTTCACAGAGAGCTTTGAGCAGCTCTGCATTGTTTGGAATAATTCTTTAGGCTCTGTGGGTGTCAATTTCAAAAGAAATTATGAGACTGTTCCATGCGATTCTACCATTAGTAAAGTTATCCCTGGGAATGGGAAATTGCTTTTGGGCTCCAATAAAAATGAAGTAGCCTCTCTGAAAGGAGACATTTATAACTTTAGACTTTGGAATTTTACCATGGATTTGAAAATGCTCTCCAACCTCAGCTGTAACGTGCAAGGGAATGTGGTAGACTGGCAAAATGACTTCTGGAATATCCCAACCCTGGCTCTGAAGGCTGAGAGCAACCTGAGCTGTGGTAAGTCTGGCACAAGGATTAATATTCTTTTCATTTTTTTGCACTGCTCAATAGAAATGTCAGTAAGAAATACAGAAGCACATGTATGTGTATACACAAAATATATATATATATATGTGTGTGTGTGTGTGTGTGTGTATATTAGTCATTAAAAATCTGTTTTAGCATTTAAAATCTTATACTCTCAGCCATTCACAGCATACATTTGATTACAAGCCATGGGTATTCAAAGAAAGCCTTATATCTTTCTTGTCATTCTTAAGTTTTCATTATGTCAAAAAATGTTACACAGTTCATCATTAACGATACAGCAAAATTATTAAGTCTCAAATCCAAACATGTTACCGCTAGGTTTGATACAAAATAGTAAGTTACTGTTTTTAACCAAAAAAGTGACACACTAATAGTTGATATTTATCATCCTGGAATGAAATTTCAATTGCATTTACTTAAATAAACATCCATCAACTAAGAAAAGAGTATTTAGCAAGTACTATATATCAAACTGTCCATTCTATGGAAGAATCTTTGTAATCGAGAATTACCAGTCTTTCTTTAAACTTTTCGCTATGCTAGAAAATGAACATTTTTGGTTTGTCTCAAATACTAGTCTCTCTATTCACTATTTAAGAGACTTTAAATGTGATATTATTGGAAGTGCCTAAATGCAACATATTTAGGAAAAATTATGTTAAAATAGACTTCCATTCTGTCTAATAAGAGTTATGTTCAAACAGATTTTCACAATATTCTGTCTGTACACAAGTTAATTTTGGAAATCATTTTTTGTTGCAGGATTGGTTCAAACATAAAAATGCAGAAGTTACACTGTCAATTTTAAATGTTATGTGACTAAACCAAACTAGTGATATACCATATACTTTTTCATCACAGAGATAAATGTTATTAAAGGAGGGAAGGATTATAGGTTCAAAACTCACTTGTATGTGATTTTAGAGAGAACTTCATGAAGAGTGAGTTCTCCATTCTTTGCCCAGAGTAGAATCCATTGTAGAAACCTGAGACCAGGTTTCCTGGACTTGATCCTGCCCTGTTGGCCTGGGAGGCGCCTGTCTGTTCTGTGGAGGTCACCCACTTCTCCTGAGAGTGGCCAGAGACCTCTTCGGTGGTATCATTGGAGAGACATTTTTGTGATTTGTTAGAAAGAGTTCACAACGGTGTTCCAGAAGGAGATTGTGGAGCTTTAGAAGAGCCAGTGGTATTCCATAAGATCCTCTCTGTAGGACTAGACCACAGAGAACCTTCGGGAAACCTGAAAAGTCTGTCAGTCAGCCAGGCTGCTGAGAAGGTTAAAGCATGTGTATTCAGTGTGGGACGGTGAAGAGACAGAAGAAGCAGTACATTTTCTACATTCTGGGTGACTCTTTAGGGGCCTCTTTCCATCATATTCTTCACCTTTATTAAAAAGTCACAATACAGCAACGAAAAAAAAACCAGGTTAGATATATTAGTTGTTAATGGTTAAATTATATTTAAATTGAATACTATGTGCTAGATGTCATTTTAAGCAATTTATACACATGTTTTATTAGTGCATGTTTGGAGCACATAACGTATACATTCCTTGTGGGGATTGGTTCGTGTACTAATGTATCTTCATTCCTTGTTTTAAATCCCCTTTCCAGTCCCTCCCTCCTCACTCCATCTCTTGACATCCACCCCCAGCTGCTTTTTTTTGGTACATGTTTGCCATGCATCATGTTTACATTCCTTGTATGAAACTGGTATATGTAGATAACACGTCTGAATTCCTTTTTTTCAGTCTCCATTCCTGTCTCCCCTTCTCTCCCTCCATCTTTTGATCCCTTTCTAGGAAGATCTTCCTCTTTACTTCTTAGTGTCTTTTACTTTGCTCTTTTTTGTACTTTGGGTTTTTCATATAAGAGAAACAGTATGATGTTTAGGCTTGTGCATCTGGTTTATTTCACTTACAGTTATGGTCTCAAGGTGCATCCATTTTTCTACAAATTACTCAAACTTTCCTTCTTTATGACAGAGTAGTACTCCGCTGTGTATAAATACCACATTTTCTGTATCTATTCATCTGTTGATGGGCATGTAACCTGCTTCCAAGATATAGCTATTAAGAAATGTACTGCTATAAACACAGATACCCATTTATGGCTGTAATAAGATATTTTTAGCTCTTTTGGGAACACACCTAGAAAGGGATATAGTTGAATCAAATGCAATTTCTAGTTTCAGTTTTTTTGAGGTATCTCCATACTGATTTCCAAAGTGGTTTTATTAGTTTATATTCCAACCAACTGTAGAAGAATTGCTTTTTCCCTGCAGCCTCTTCAGCATTTGTAATTATTTGGTTTCTTGATGATGGCCATTCTTTCTGGGGTAAGGTGTAATCTCAGGGTTGTTTTAATTTGCATTTTCCCAATGGCTGATTATCAACATTTCTTCCTATATTTATTGGCCATTTGTACTTCTGTGAAATATATATTCATTTCAGTTGCTCATTTTTTATTTGATATTATCCCATTCGTTGATTCTCCTTACTATTTCGTGTGCAACAGGAAATCTGTTCAACAGCGATTCTGTTCAGGAAGTCCTTGCCCATGCCTATGACTTTAAGAGTTTTATCTGTTTTATCTTCCAGCAGGTCAGGTATTTCTATTCTACCATTTATTTTTTTGATCCATCTTGATCTTAATTTAGTACATAGCAAAAGATATAGGCCTACATTCAATCTTCTGCATGTGCACTATTTATTAAAGATGCTCTCTTTCCTCCAGAATACATTATAGGCTCTTTTTTCAAGACCAAATAGTTGATTGTGCTTGGGATTGTTTCTATATCCTTGATTCTGTTCCATATTAACTCATCTCTTGTATCATTGATCCCATCAAATGGAGTCTATTTTGCAGATGAGAAATCTGGGCAGAGGAGATTAAATAACTTACCCAGCGTCACTTAATTCTAATTGAGCCAGCCTGAACTTGAACCCAGAAAGTTAGTATCAAGAGCTATGCTCACTTAACCAGTATAAATTAGACTGTCCCTCAGCATAGGTGAAATTATCAGCTGTAATGTAGTATTAGAGTTAGTGAGCTAACTGTTGCGAAGAAAGGAGCATAAAAGTCCAGAATCCAACTCTTCTGACCACCAGTATGTTCTGTGGGAAAACACTGTCTTTACAGGCTGTTAATACAATGTTCATCATAAGCAAACTTAATTAAGTTTCTTTCCTGCAGTGTTTCTTGGATACTTTAAGATATGCTGTTAAAGAGATTCTTGTACTTTCTAAGAAACTCGGTAGAGCAGAGGTTGGCAATCTGGGAGGGCCTATGACAGCCACTTGTTTTTGTAAGAAACTTCAGAGGCGCGCAGCCACACCCATTAGTTTATGTATTGTCTGTGCCTGAGACTGTGCTGTAGTAGCTACGATAGAGGTGGCACAACCTGCCATCCTAAAATATTTACTGAGTAGCCCTTCAAGGGAGAATTTGCCAACCCCTGAAACTAGTTCAAACAATTATAAAAGTCCAGTGACTGAAGCTCACACTCTGGACAACACCAGAGAAGACCCACCAGGTCTCTGAGAGCAGAGAAAGCCCTCCAGTCCCCCACTGTGTAGCCATCAGACTTTGGTGATGGTAGTAGTGGTGTGTGTGTGTATGTGTGTGTGTGTGTGTGTGTGTTTTGTCCCAAATATTTGTATTTGTCCCACATAGTGCTTTTAAAATAGACTTTGGTGATGGTAGTAGTGGTGTGTGTGTGTATGTGTGTGTGTGTGTGTGTGTTTTGTCCCAAATATTTGTATTTGTCCCACATAGTGCTTTTAAAACAATGGATTTTTCCAGCATTATAAGATCAAATTCTACTTAAGAATTATTTTTTTTTTCTTCTTCTGGAGAAGTACCAACATGACTTGGTTAGTGTTTCCTCTCGGGCAACACAACAGCGATGAGAGGTGGCGAGTCCTTTGAAGGGCTTTCTGGTTTACCTCAGCTCTCCCCACATCCTTCCACTGAGCATCCTTCTTCATCCATAGATCACCTCTGACTCTGGTAAAATCCAATTTAAGCTTCTTGCTTTACATTATTCAGGACAGGAAAGTGAAGCTGAGAAAAAAATATAAATGGTTAAGGTAGTGGGTGGACTAAATCATGTGTTTCCTGTCTCCTTATCTAGCTTAGCTCTAGGCATCCTCATATTAAAAAAAAATTAAGTGACAAAAATAGCATGTATTTCTGGTGTAAAACTTAATGTTTGACATGTGTCTCTATTGTGGGATAGCTAATGGAAGTTATGTCTGATTACCTCTTATGCTTACCATTTAAAATCTACTCTCTTAGCTGTTCTCAATATTACAAAGTTTTTGTTAACTGTAGTCACTTAGTCCTCCTTTCCAACTGTAATTTCATATCTTTTGACTTTCATTTTTCTGATCACTGTGCTTTTCACCTCCTCTCTGCTTCTGTGATTTTGACTTTTTTAGACTCATACATGTAACCAAGATCACGTAGTGTTCATATTTCCTTAAATGGTTTTTGAGGCTCCTTTTCTAAACCTTAAAATTCCCAGAATGTATCAAATGCATGCTCATGTACCTTAGTCATCTAAGTAAGTAAGTTTTCAGAATGATTTAATCAAAGGAGTAGCCCAAAATTACAGAGTCAATATATTTGAATCCCCAACTTTTACATCAGTATTCTTGACATTCCAAGATGATGCCGAATACCTCCACTGGGTGCACTCGGATGTCCTGGACTGTGTGTCAGCAATGATGGTGGGAGAGGGAATTTCCTGCTGCTTAATCATCAGCTTTGGGAGTTGGAGACTCCAAGTCACTTTTTAACTGACCGGAAATACCTGTCCTAGAGATTATATCTAGGCTTGTTAGCAAAGCAAAACTTCAATAAGTAGAAAAAAAGTGTGTTCTATTAACATTTTAGCATTTCATTTTTTCCAGATAATATTGTGATTATCTTGCTGTTTGTGGCTGTCTTGATTTCCAGCAAACT